GCCTCCTCCAATCTTCTGAAGGTTTCATGAAGTTCCGACACGGATCTTACGAGGCAATCTATATCGTCCGCGTAGGCCGCCAACTGCTTGGATCTGTAGCAAAGCTCACCGTTGATGTCTACCTCCATTTTCCGCACAACTCCTTCTAATGCCAGATTGAAAAGCATGGGAGCCAGCCCGTCTCCTTGTTTCAGTCCTCTGTCAAAGGCAAATTCCGTCCCCAGTTTTCCCTGAATTCTGACAGCGCAACGTGATGAATTCATGGTTACTTTTGTTAGCCTGACTAGCTTTGGTGGAATTCCTAGGTCCAGCATCGTGGTGTATAGTTTTTCTCTGTCTATGCTATTATAGGCTTGTCTGAAATCAACAAAGACTTGGTATACGTCGATGTTGTACTCCCAGCACTTCTTCAGGGTTTGTCTTACTGTGTGAAGTTGATCTATTGTTGATCTGTTGTTTCGGAAACCTGCTTGATATTCTCCCAGGGCCCGTTCTGCGTATGGTTCCGGACGGTTTTTGATGATCGAAGTAAGAATCTTATATGCAGTATTTAGCAGAGAGATTCCCCGATAATTTTTACAGTCTAAGTTGTCCCCCTTCTTATGGATAGGGCAGATTATCCCTTCCTCCCACTCTTTGGGGATGGCTTCCTCGTCCCAAGCTTTCTGGATTATCTTGTGTATGGCCCTCAGGGCTGGCAGTCCACCGTGCTTGAAAAGTTCGGCTGGTAGATTGTCTTTTCCGGGTGCTTTGTTATTTTTTAAGAATCTTATTACTTTAGATATCTCTTCTAAGGTAGGTGGGTTATCCTCCAGCTATGCCACTGAGTTGTTATTCCACATGCGGGGGTCCGACTGGTGTTCCCTGTTCTGGGTCGAGTCCTTATTCAGTAGTTGTTGGAAGAACTCTTTCCATCTTTTGGCCACTGGTTCCCTTCCCACCACCACTGTTCCTCTTGAGTCTCTGCATATGTTGGGGGCCGGTTTAAATCCTCTTCGGAAGAAGTTCAGCTCCCGAAAGGCTCCCCTTGGGTTTTGTTCATGGAAATTCTTTTGCATTTGCAGTACTCGGTCATTGGTGGATTCACGCCTTTTCCTTCTGCAGATCTTTTTCGCTTCACTTTTTGCTGTTTTATAATCCTTTTCTCTCTGTCTCGTGGGTCGGGACAGGTATTGTGTTCTGAGGTCATTCCTTCTTTCTATAGCCTCTCTGCATTCTTCGTCGTACCAATCGTTTCTCTTTCTCATGTTCCGGTATCCAATCGTTTCTTCCGCGGTCTGTTTTATTATACTTTTCAGAGTTTCCCAGCTGTCCTCCAACGACAGTTCGTCCTGCATAGCTCCTGTTAGCCTTTCCCCCAGTCTTTCCTCCAGTCTTGACTGGTAGATTCCATTTGTTCCTTCTTTCTTCAATCTATCCACATTGAACTTTTGGCATCTAGTGTGTGCTTTTGTTTGCCTACTCGACATACGGCACCGGAACTTAACTCCTACCAGGAAATGGTCCGACTCCACATTTGCCTTTCTGTGCGTTCTTACTTGGAGTACGCTGGATGCTCCTCTTTTCTCTATTAGTACGTGGTCAATCTGGTTGCACATTGAGCCGTCCGGCGAGTTCCATGTTCTTTTATGTATGTTTTTCCTAGGGAAGTATGTTGAACTGACTACCATATTCCTGCTAGTCGCAAAATCTATCACCCGGAGGCCGTTATTATTTGACTCTGCGTGTAGGCTCTCCTTCCCTATGATCGGGCGGTATATTGTTTATCTTCCGATTTTAGGATTCAAGTCTCCCAGCATCATTTTAATGTCATTAGATGGTGTTGTATCATATACTTGTTCCAGTATACTATATAGAATATAGAATACTATATAGAATGAGTCTTTGGTGGAGTCTTCCTTTTCCTTAGTTTCCGCGTGCACATTGATCAGACTAAGATTAAAGAATTTGGTTTTTATTCTGATAGTACATACTCTGTCACTGACCGGTCGAAACTCCATTATATTGTCTCGCAGGTCCTTGTGTACCACAAAACCCACTCCGAGGAAGTGTTTCTGGCCTCCACTGTGGAAAAAATCATAATCTCCTATTCTCATAGTGCTGTTTCCTTTCCATCTTGTTTCTTGGATTGCTAGGATCTGGATTCCACATTTTGTGATCTCCTCTACCAGGCTTTTAGCCGCTGCTGTCTCCCTTGTATGAACAAGGTCCTTACATTCCACGTTCCCATTTTCAATTCCATATTACGTAGCCCGAGTCGTCGCCGTTGTGACCGTCCCATTCGAAGCCCAGTTTCTGGTTTCTTAACAAGTTGGTTTTACGGGGCAGGTTGTTAGCCTAGCGCCCAACCCCCAACCTGGGGGGCCAGGGACTCTTCTGTTGGGGTTACCATACCTTAGCCGAGTTGTACTGGTTTTAGGGCGCCGGCAGCTCGCCCTTCGCCCTCTCCTGTTAGCGTTACCCGGGGAGCACCGCTCGGAGGTAGAAGTAGGGCTTGATAGGGATGTGTGCACTTTCAGTGATTTATTGCTACGGATCTCTCGACAATATGCGCAGCCACTGAGCACCCCTTAGCCATTTGCCTCCCAAACAGTCTCCTTTAGATATTGAAAAATTCGTTTAATCATCTTCCAGTGACTTATCATCGGTTTACTGCAAAATCGACTTAGACAGTTAACGGCAAAACTGATGTCAGGTCGAGATATAGTGGTTAGATATAATAGACTTCCTATGGTTTCACGATAGGGTTCAGACTTTTCAAGCGGTTTGTCATTTACACGATTTTCTTCAGCTCACTATTCCAGGTTCCATTGGAGTGGATGCGGGATTTAACAAATCGAATTTGAAACGCTGAAGGATTTTCTCCGTGTATTTTGACTGACTAACAAAAATTCCATTTGGACTGTTCTGTATTTGCATGCTAAGGTATGATAGTTTGTCATCTCGTGCAATGTCAAAAGTGATTTCAAACTTTCGCTTTAGTTTATTTAAGACTTCAATCATGTCATCCTCGTATGTTGCAGCAACAAGTCCATCATTGACGAATACGGCGAGTATTATGCTTCTGTTTCTGTCTTTGTTGTAGTAAACACAGGGATCATCATCTGTGTTATCAAATCCAAGTGACTGCAGAAACTCGGAAAATTTATTGTTCCAGTTTTTTGAAGCTTGCTTCAGGCTGTAAAGACTTTTCTTTAGCTTACAGATACGACCAATACCATCATTAAAGCCTTTCGGTTGATGCATAAAAATATCTTCTTTTAGATTTCCATATAGGAATGCCGTCTTAAGGTAGTTCTTTCATGAGAATAAGTATTAGATAAATATATAAATTTAATATATGTTAAATATACAGTAATAAGGTTGTACGCAAAAATCAGGTGAGGTTAGCACAACTTTACAAGAAATAATTCATTCTAAATGTGCGTTCGTGGAGCGTGATATTGTTATTCTATCCTTGTTTACATCTAATGAACGAGAAAGATAGAATGATGCAAATCGCCACGGCCGAGATTTTCAACGAATAATACATGTACTTAGCGATTAGATGAATACATTATTAATGTCTTAAAATATTCCCTGAAGTTTTCGGATTTCGTACGTACCTTGAAAATAAGGGCTTAGCACAAGTTTTGCTCTGATATATGAGGTTAAATAAGTAGTGGATCGAATCGCATATTGCTTTACTCGTACCGTCATGGTGGCGATGTAAATTTGGCAACGCTGTATGTTAGACCCGGGACTAGACATTTCGGCGCTCAAGGCGAAAGAAAAAAATGCGCCCCTTAATAACAAATAAATATTTTTATGGCATGTAAAATGTAATAAAAAATTATATTAATTAGTGATATTGCATTATGTAAGTAATTAACTGTTTTTCAGATACATGTTAGTCCGAAATTCTGCGAAAATTGTAAAAAGGATTGTTTTGCAAACTCTTTTCTTTTTTATTTGTTTTATTTTATCTGTGGTAACTTCTATTTTTTCTACCTATATATATTATTTTCTCCCTTTGCCATACATGGAGTGAAAAATTTGAGACTCAAAGAAAGATAGAATTCAGTGGAGTAATGAATAATGCAGCACACGTATACCGAGCATATGAATAAAAAATACTCAAATATTGTTAAATTGTTATACATACAATATTTATTCAAACTTATATTATGATAAATTATACACTTTAACTTTAATTAATGTTTGAAGTTTGAGCTCTGTTCGAGCTGTTGCACAATCGCTATAAGTACTTGATTTTTTTTCGTTACTTGAGGCTTGGCCTCTAACATCTTCGCAAAGCAACATTCAAATCTCCTCCGGTCCAAAATCCGCGAATGTCTTTTCAAGTATTTCCAATGTGATGCCGGCTTTTGCCATTTTGGTTTTCATGCCAGCCGAGATGTCTTTCAAACTTTCGAGAGTGACTTTGTTGTGTGCATGGACGACAGTATTATTCTCTGCACGCAAGATTTCACCGGTCGTTTTTATCATTTCCCTTATCATATCGTCGGTAATTTTGCTACTGCAAACTAATCTTTTTAGAATTGAGACGTCGGTAACAGCATTATGAGCTCCTGCTATGGACTCAGACCCCAAGAAATCTTCTGCGAGGGCTGTTTGGGTATAACTTTTCTTTTCTTTCTTCCGATTCTGAAGTAAATTGCGAAAGAGATGCAACGTATCTGCGAAACCCATTACGACAAACTGAAATTTTTCAAGAAGTCCGAACTTCTTCATGTGTCGCAATATCAACGGTGCATCGAATCTAATACAAATCATATGATAACCGATGAAATATTCGACCATTATCAGACGCATTTTGACTTTAATAATGTGCGATATACACGTTTCCTTGACCTAAAATTCTATTTAAAAAATAGCGTTTTACTGTTAGTGCATGAATAAAATTAATTCTCTGAAATTCACCTAAATCCGTTGTGAGCTGTGAGAATTATACTTATCCCGATACTCCGTAAATAAGCAATGAAGTTTTTAAATGCCATTTAAGGTGGCGTTGTGTCAACTTGTTGGTTATTCAAAAACATTTCACCCCCATGGACTTGAAGCCCAGTGACTTCTGCGGCCCTGGAAGACATGTCTCCCGCTGGAACGATATATACATTAAATATTTCCTTCTCGTGCACAGCTGCTATCTGAAAGTGTAGGAAAACCTGAGTCAAGTATTTCGCTTCCTAGCTATCACAACAATAGTGACAGACCTGGCATATTTCTGCGGACTTCGACAGTCCGGTTGTTTCCAAGTCAAAAATCACTATCCTCGCACCTTGGTGGTCGGAAGTATCAGCTGAAAGTAAATATTTTTCGCATTTATATTGGGGATGACCGTTCATGACAACCAGCGTCTATAAGAGTAAGTGCAGAGGATACCTTGGTAAGGATTCTCATCAATGAATCCAGACACACTGTTCAATCTGTTGTCGGTATTGTACGTAATTACTTCGCGACGCTATACGGATCCCATTTTACTTGATCGATTTTTCTTATGAAACAGTCTTCTTCGTTTTGCTTCGACGGTCCGTAAATTCTCGATTTTTTGTTTTCTGACACTTTCTTTTGATTCGCGGAATTTTACCGTGGCTTTGCTCGGCGACAGATTCAGCTCTTTATAAACCTTGAATATAGCAGTAAATAAGATTAGAGTTGGAAATCGGCTGAACGGATGAGAAATCGATTAGATACAGGCAAGTTGTGTACTAAAGTAATCACCTGTTCAATGTAGGTCACTCCAATATTTTTCGGCAAACTGATGCAGCTACTCGAAAATTGAGGGACTCTGATGCTGCGTAGTATTTTGATTTTGGAGCCTTGCTGGCAACTGAACTGTTAAAGGATTCGTTGCCTTGGCTAGAACCGCACGGTGCCAATTTGTCAGAATTATTTGCGAATCTCGTGAAGACAGAAGTAAGTGCAGATTTTAGCTGTGGATCTGATAAAGGCTTTCCATGAGGAAGGCCTTTGGGCTGATACTCTTCACCTATGCTAGAATAGCGACACCACTCGCCACAACGCTCATGATTACCAAAAGCGTGAGACACGACGTTTCTCAATGCACACTTTACTGCTTCAGGATTGCCTTCATTCTTTTTTATCGCGCAAGTAAAGCATCGTAAAAAATACTCGATGATTTTAGTTGGCAGCTTCAAACCATACAACGAATTAATCATCGCCTTGGATGCGTGGTTTAGATCAGACCACTTATCTATTTGTGTGGTAGATTCGCGCCGCACTGCCGCAATAGTTGATGAGTCGTCGTCGCCAATCAATACGTTAACGCAAACGTTTTCGTCCTTCAGATGCTGGTTATAAATGATCAACTCCACAGCCATGTTAGGCTCCATAGACTTTGCGCTACCTTCATAGTTTTTACGACAGTCATGATTGTCGGAGGAGTGCCCCCGTGCGCACAATGCACATGCCTTGCATCGAACTGCGTACCCGAGGATTTGCTTCGACCGATGCCCGATGAGACTGCCTTGATCTAAATATCGACGCAAATTACGAAATAGCTATAAAGAATTTGAAGTCTCGTGGTTACATAAATTCAAACCAGAGAGGCTGTTATAAGCTCGACCAGTTCCGCGCTTCTGCCACCCTGCGTCGTATGATGCGACTATCTTGACGCTCTCCTCTTGATTCACCTCTGCCATCGTGATACTGTTTTCTTCATCATTAGATCGTTCGGGATTGCTGAAAATACAACCCAATGTCTGACTATGTGTAATCTGATAACAAATTGAACTTTTCTTTAATTCTATTTTTATTGAGTGGAAAAAAATCACTTTGATAGCTCTGCCTCAGGAGTAATGCTTGCAGCTACTGTTAGGGATTTTTCCACCTTGATAGCTTTTCGACAACTATTTTGAGCTACCCTTTCGATAGCTGGACCGACAATTCTCTCATAACGTTTTAGTGTGGAAGTTGAAAAAGTTGGTATATCTAGAGCAGAAAGTATTATGTTCAGTTGCGATTCTCCAACGCCACTGTCTATCATTGCTGCAATGCATTACAAGGAAGAAATTAAATGACGTAAGCTTTAAAATATAGCAAAGAACAAAACGCTATGCATTTACGCATTTTATAATAAATCAACATACCTGTTGCCGCTTTGTAGTTCACATGGTATAATCTCTCATTTGGTAGGTGTTTATTTGTATGGATTGTGTACTTTTTTATCGCACTTTACACATTTCACATCAAGTGTGCTTGCCAGACTAAATTTCTGCTCACTTTCGACGTAACGAAGTGATAGAGGAATGTCACAAGCTGTGCACCAAAGATTGAGAGCAAGAGTTTTCAGTTCTACAATACGGCGACCATAGATTTCAAATTTATCGCGCACGTCAGAGACAGCTGGGAGGACAGCTTTTTTTTTTGACGCAAGCACATTGTTGAATATGGCGCTCTAGCGCCTTGAAGCGCCTCTATGTTCGCACAGACACGCCACGCATGCTAGGGAAAATTAAAGTTCCGTTGCGTGAGCGCTTACTGCGTTTCACTATATACTCTCACTATCTATGTACTCTACCTGTCTTGTCGTTCGTTCGTTACGTTGCAGTGTGTATAAAGTTTCTTTTCGTTGCATTACCTTTTCCAAAAAGACACACTGCCTATTGTATTCAAGTCTTATAATTACACGTATCTTAACCACAATACCTGGCGTAAGTCATTACATAACCCTGCGCAACACACATTTTGTCTCCAACGATATTTGGATTTCGAAACGAAGCATCCTTTCTTACGCCCGTGTACAACATGAATAGTATAACTATACCGTTTCATTACTCATGGAATGGAGACGTGATAACAAATTTGTAGGTTACAAGAGACGTGATAACAAATTTGTAGGTTACAAGAAACTAGCTACTGCGGTGTTGCCAAAAGTATCTGTACGTTAATTGGATAAAAAAATCGAGTCCAACAGTACTACTATTGTGATATTTTTTTAATTAGTAAATAATAATTAAATACGATTAAATCGTGCGTGTAAAATCATATTTTATATTATTATAATTATTGGAATGTTGCAATGTTTGTTTTCAATTACCTCATGACGGACTGTTACTTGACTAGGTGCGTAGGTGAAAGGACTACCTTCACGTCAAAAGTCATCAATTTCATCTTGTTAGAGGCTGCGAGACTGAAGATCAATCAAATAGACACATGATGAGCAACAGGGCTAAAAGTTCCGGAATAGTCTATTCCCTCTTTCTGTTCGAAACCTCTGGCGACAAATCTGGCTTTAAAACGACCATCCTGTTTTCGTCGTAAGATCCAGCGACAGGATAAAGGTTGCACCTGCTTAGAGGGTTTTACTAAGTCCCATGTTTTTATTTTGATCAGAGAGCTGAGTTTTTCAGACATAGCATTACGCCAGTTTTCATGTTTTAGGGCATCTGAGACAGAAATATTCTCCACTTCTCCTATCCCAGCAAACACAGATATATAACGATTATATTGCCAGTATATAACGAAATGTAACACGCAATATAACACGATCGTCACAGTTATGCAGACGTTAGTTGTAATTTCGCATACATGGATTATTGCAGTTACATAATATAAATAAAGCGATGTTATATAACATTTATACAGCAGTAATATAATTTAAAGCATTATTGTAATATAACTGCAGTGTAACCATTCTCTTACATCTTATTGTATATATTAATTAATTTATAATTTGCCTTTTATACATACTAATTCCAGAAAAGGTTTTTAAATTAATTCTAAGCGAAAACAAACTGTTTTATTTGCTTTTGCTTGAAATTAATTTAAAAACCTTTTCTAGAATTAGTATGTGCAAAAGACATACATGTTTTTGCGTAGGAAAGGGACAAATATAAATATATTAATATTGAATAATCATTTTATTAGATATATTTTGCACTCCAAACATGTAGAGAATATATATTATATATTCTACATACAGGGTGTATCATTTTAAGTGATTCAACTGAATATTTCTTAAAGTAAAAGAGATAGGAAAAATTGTTTCAGACAATAGTTTTATGATTTCGAGAGAGGCAGAAGTTGGCCACATTAGATTAATTGTAGGTGGCGCCACTTTTTAGACTTCTGCATGGCGGCCATTTTTTCAATTGGCAGTCGATTTTTTTTCTATTAAATGTTGTAGCTGGCATTGAGACGAATACAACGGTTTTTCATTTTTTGAAATAGGATCATTTTTCACTGAGTTACAGTGTTCCAAAGTTTACAATTTAAGTATAAAGCTTCCACCCCCATGCAGTGTACGTATTTTGCGACTCCAAACCGCCCTCTTTCTCTCTCTCTCTCTCTCTGTGTGCGTGTGCGTGTGCGTGTGCGTGTGCGGGTGCGGGTGCGGGTGCGGGTGCGGGTGCGGGTGCGGGTGCGGGTGCGTGTGCGTGTGCGTGTGCGTGTGCGTGTGCGTGTGCGTGTGTGTGTGTGTGTGTGTGTACGTGTGTGCGTGCGACGGCTATCAGGCTTAGAATCGCTCATTATTAAATTTATCCATTTAATAAATTTTCGAATACACTACCATTCTGTTGTAAACATAAACGGAGCCGTTTCTGAAAAATTGTAATGGTAGACAACAAAACTTGCCGAGGAATATTATTGCAGGCTCTTTTTATTTTGTTTTTCATATCTTTTCGAGTTGTCGGAACTTCTTTGTACACTACATTTTTCAAATAACCCCACAAGTAAAAATCTGGTGAAGTTAAATCTGGAGAACGTG